CTTCGACATGCCTCAAGTTCCTTGTAGACAACATAAGTTATTGTAACATTCTCTATGCTGATAAAATGGATTTGTTAGGTATCTGGCAAGAGAATACAAGTCCATATAATGGGGGAGATCTATTACCGTTTGATAATTCGATGACTCATCCTTAAGAATCTATGGATATGACAGTGTCAATGAGATAAGGAGCGTACAAAAGAAAGGAGATCCTCAACTTTCTAGTAATATTGTGTCGGAGTACCTTCAAAGGTATCCTAGGGAGACCCTTCCTAGAGAACTAGATGTAGTGGTTCCCCGGTCCATGTAAAGGTAAATTATTATAATAGAGAAAAAAAGCTTACCACAGTGAGTGTTGACGTGGATAAGGCGAACCGAATCAAGGAAATCATCTAGAAGGAAACTTTAGTATTGGTTGGAGCCTTAAAAGCAGAATGAGATATGGGGATTCCCATTGCGTTTGATCTAGATGCCCATGAAGATGAGATTTTGCTAGTGCTAGATGGTGATTTTGAGTCCGTCCAGCTCGGGGATGATCCTACCAAATTAGTGAACATAGGCGTAAAGCTCACTTTGGAAGTAAAAGTCATCTAATTGAATGCCTCCAGGCTGATTCTTATAATTTTCTTATAACCCTGCATGAAAATCCCGATATTAGTCCCAGCGAAGCGTGTCATCAGTTAAATATGGAAGTTGATGCTCGTTGTGTCTCCTAGTGTCATATGAGATAATCCCCAGGTTTATGGAGTGATTATCCAACGTTGTTTTAGTAAGAAAAGCCTCATTAAATTGGAGGATGCGTGTCGATTACACCGATCTTAACAAAGCTTGTACGAAGGATTCTTATCCACTTTTGAACATTGACAAACTTATAGACAACTCAGTCGGATATCCATTGCTTTCATTCATGGATGCTTACTTAAGGTATAATTAAATACCAATGTTCGGACCTGACCGGGTAAAGATAACCTTCGCGACCAAGCATGCTAATTATTTGTATAACGTCATGCCCTTGGAGATAAAGGATGTCGACGTGACCTATCATATAATGATGAATAAGATCTTCCATGAAGAAATAGGGACGACACTGAAAGTGTATATGGATGATATGATCTTAAAATCTGGTTGCGAGTGTCATATCCCAATTTTTTTTGGGCATTTTAAAAAATTTCATACATCTGACTTTACTTCACTTTGCATCACCTTCGTAGCATAACATGTCATTTCATCACGCATAATGCTTAAAATATCAACAATAATAAATTTTTGGATCTACAGACAAACCGGTTGAATCAATTTTCAAATGTACATAAAATTAACGGGTGAAAGTTTTGAAATTGAGCTTGCAGATATCAGTATTATTAATCTACGGTTCGCGTAGTTTAACTTAGCGTACCTGTTTTATTTTTTTTGTCTATTTTTCTGTCACATTCTGATCATCCTGAGTATTTTAAAATTTTTAAATATATTTGTAACATGATAGTATGACAATATTAATACATTTTATCAAAAGTATTTGTATAGTCACAATTAACGGGATAAAATATATACATATAATGGATAATATACTACCCTATGAATACAAAATAAATTATGTTAACTTCCCAGCTCCTGTTCAGTGCCTTATACGTCCCGCATATGATGTTTTCCAAGATCTTGCACCTTTATTACTATTCTGTTTCCAGCAGTCATCGACGAGATGCAATGGACAACCAAGTTTCAACTTCACCTGAATCCAATGATTGTTGTTAACATAACCAATTACAATAAGCTTATGTTTACTCATAGACATAAATATAGATACCACTAATGGAAAGAAACTGATGTTAAGGTTCATGGACAAAGAAACCAATATCATATTGTACCTAGAAACAATATGGTAATTCATAGCAGGAATCACCATCCATTTGTCATGATCCTGAACACCCGAGCTATCTCCTTAGAACAAACTCCTAACTTCAGAGGCCATGTCATAGAATACCTTAAAATACAATTTATGGTGTTGATAAACTTCATAATCTAACTGTTTCCGAACCAAAGATCATGATGCTCCACCCCATCTAAGTAAAGTTGCAATAGCATGAAAAACACAATTTCCATCAGGCTCCATATCAACAATGTCTTCAATATAGTAATGTAAGAAAATAGAAAACTGAGACAAGTAAAAGTGTTCACTGGCAGTTGTTTTTATACATGATCTCTTTATCGTATGACTTCATTACGATGCTTCAACATACTCCCAGTGCGGAGGATCACAAGTCACATCACTCTTTTGACCATTCTTACTCTTATTATTTCCCTTTTTTGGCTTGTACTTCACTAGCGGTGGACACATAAAAGTTGTGGATGGATGTCTTAGTTCCTGAACTTTTTCCTTCATTTTCGTCTGGCCAACTATATCCAATGTAATGAAATACCTCTTCAACACTTCACACTTTTTTCTAAATCCATTTGTGTCCCACCTTTTTCTTGAGTGGCTTCATGCTCTTCAATGTTTAATATCTTCAAAAGCACACAAACTGATTCTAACTGAATAAGGTTACCTTGTATTTTAAGACCTGCAAGTTCACACGCACAAGGTAACCCATGTGTTGTTCTAATAAAACAACTACATGCATATTTATCAAAACAAATAGATATTAAACTTTCCAACTATTTTGTAACGTGTTAAATACATTGTCTTGAAACAAAGTTGTGCAATTTAGAGAAAAATGGAGTATTATACTGATGCTCAATGTTGGAAATACTTTTTTGAAATTATACTCCGACTTTACATAGTTACAACATCAACATGGTATTCAGAGCTTCCCGACTTCTGAATATCCCCAACTAGTAGTCAATATGTTTTTGAAGTTCTAATGAGCAAACTCAGCCCTAAAAAACATAAGTAGAAAAAAAAGTTATAAATTGATAATTAGCATTGTAATAAAATCAAAGTCACAACGATGTACCTGTTCTTTGTCGTGTTCCCTAAATGAATGGCTCTATTAGTCTATGCAACAAAAAAACTTTTCATTATAGGGTGTCAACCATGTTTGGTGCACATACTGAACAAATAAAGGAACATCAACACACTACCTCAAAAATCTTCAAGCGTTACACAAACTTAAACTCCCTATTTGAATACATGACTTTGTTTCATAGATCCATAAAACGCAATTGCCTATTAGATTCAACATACTCCTTACACTCCACATTAGCATTTTTTGAAATATGAAACACACAGAACATATGAATTGAGGACGAGAATACAACTTCCACGACATTCATCAATGCAAGTTCTTGGCCCGTCAACACAACCTTCGGTATCAAAACTTTTTCAGCTTCTCGAGTGCTCATGTGAAGTTTTTCTCCCTTTCATGTTTCAAATAGGCAAATCCAAGCGAAAATGTCAACTCCATTGGCATAACACCAATAATCTCAAGTAGTGGGGGCATATATTTGTTTGTATATTACGTACAATTAATAAATAATGAACATAATATGAAATTCAATCAACAGTTTCTCATAATCAAATAAAGGACAAGTTACATATTTGGGGAATGCAGTACCCTATTTATTTTGCATGTACAATAAAAAATCAACACCAAATGAAATATGTTCAATAACTTTACTGAATTAAGACGTGTCCAAAAGATATCAACAATAACATTTGATTCGTCTATGTTTCTGAACCAGTACATGTATTTCTCATCATGAATTAGACTCAACATATGTTGCATTCTTGTTAATGGACATCTCTTGATCGTCTTATATGTAGATCTTTCCTTATATACTTGCGTAACGCTCGTCAGTTTTTATTTTTATTTTTTATATATCTATCTTTCAAAGCGACAACTGTGTACTTGAGAGTCATATTGTATTTTGTCATATCAATCACAAAATGTCTTTCATTATGTTTTAACCGTCCTAATATCTCATTAGCATCTAAATTCATAGCTAGTTCACGATTGTGAACTCCATACCTAACTGTCACCTTTCAATCGATACCACTTGACACATATTTCAACATAAATGAACATTTAACTTTTATACTAAAGGTGTATTTAGAGGAATTATTCTTCTTGTAGTTTTCTCTTCTCTTACAACCCATAATCATTTTATCTTTCCTCTCTCTGATCCCATTTGCGGTATCATAATGAACAATAAGAACAATAATACCATGTTGTTTATCAATGGACTGTGTCCATGCTAACACAACTTCACAGGAGAAAAATATCTATCATTTACAACATATAAAGAATTAATTATTTATGCTAGAGATATGCAAAGCCTATTGAATTTTGCATTAGTTAAAAATAAAACTTGCAAGTAAAACATATAATGTTAGTGGCGAAGAACTACATAAAATATATATAGGAACCATACATCTCATGAGCGCACAAATAAAACCATCCTGAATTGAACTATTGAGTTTTTACACTAGACTTAAAATCTAGTATATCAGAAATTTTACAAAAATCCATTTTTTTTTTACTTTTAAGATATTTAAGAATTTTGCTGATTCCTAGATTTTTCAAAAAAATTGATAAAAAATATCGGGTTTTTAAAGAGAATATCAAGTTTTTCCAAAAAAATATTGTGTACACATTGAATTTTTAAAAAATCCGATTAAAATTAATACCATTTTTTAAAAACGGTAAAATTGCAAAGTTTTACTAGCACTACCAAATATTTCAAAACTACATATTCAATCAGAGTGAATTATTTTGACCACATTTAATTTTAGAATACATAAATAATGAAAAGGACATTATGATTATGATTGATACGAAAATAGGGGTTCTGAAGTATAACTCGAGGTGTCAGGACAAAATCTAAAAAAGTACTCTTAAAATGAAAATTGGGCCATGATAAATTAGGCCCAAAAAGAAAGGTCCATTATAAATCAAAGAAACATAAATTAGGGTTTTGAGTCTAGATTGCAGCAGCCAAGCGATAGAGAGGATTGTGACTTGTTGCTGCTGAACTTTCTCTTGTGCCGCCTCCACATTGCAACCATGGTACTCGATTTTCTCTTCTCAATTCCTCTGCAAACCCTAATTAAATATTTCTTACGTTGTTACAATTGATTTATACGAATCTATTTTTACATTTCTATGTCTAATTTTACTAGATCATATCCGAGAAAAACCGTAGAGAGATCTCCAAATACCTCTTCCAAGGTTCGTTATTATTGTTCAGTGTTTTAGGGTTTTGTTTTGTTGTGATTTTAGTTTGCTTTTGTGTTGAATCGGTTTAGTTGTTGTTCAGAGGGAGTTTGCTATGCAAAGAAGGATTTCAATTTGGCAAAGCACCCTGAGATTGATGTCCCAAATCTGCAAGTTATTAAGCTGATGCAGAGCTTCAAATCCAAGGAATATGTTAGGGAAACATTCGCTTGGATGCATTATTACTGGTTTTTGACTAATGATGGAATTGAGTTCCTTAGGACTTATCTCAATCTTCCATCTGAGATTGTGCCAGCTACTTTGAAGAAGCAGGCTAAGCCAGCTGGTAGACCATTCGGTGGTCCACCGGGTGATCGCCCTAGGTAATTTTGGGGTGTTGTTTTTGGATGGGTTAATTTGATTTCACTGATTTTTTGTGTTAATTTTATTTATTTGTCTTTGAACAGAGGCCCACCTCGATTTGAGGGAGAGAGGAGATTTGGTGGCGACCGTGATGGATACCGTGGTGGTCCTGGTCCCAGAGGACCTGGTGGTGAGTTTGGTGGAGACAAGGGTGGAGCTCCTGCTGACTACAGACCTTCTTTTGGGGTAATAATCTTACTACATCAGTACTTAATTTGAACAAAGTTTGAGTGTTGGTGTATCTATTGATTTGTCTATTCATTTATTTTTGAAGATGATTCTGTTGATTTCATTTTACAATGTTGTTAAGGGTAGGTTAATTTTGGTAGCTTATTATCTGCTTTAGTATTATATTTGATTCCTATGGTTTTGGCTTCTTCTTTTGGGGTAATAATCTTATTACATCAGTACTTAATTTGAACAAAGTTTGAGTGTTTGTGTTTCTATTGATTCGTCTATTCATTTATTTTTGAAGATGATTCTGTTGATTTCATTTTACAATGTTGTTAAGGGTGGGTTAATTTTTGGTAGCTTATTATCTGCTTTAGTATTATATTTGATTCCTATGATTTTGGCTTCTTCTCTTGCTGTTTACATTGCTTTTTGTGTAGTTCCATTTTCACGATTGCTTGACTCAATATAGATTAACTTCTTAATCTTATAACTTTGGTTGTGTTAGCATTTAGTTACAGCCATGTCTTAATTTTTTCTAATTATGTTGTTTTCTTAATTATAAATCTTAGATATTGGTTGTGATTCCTATGTTCAAATAATGTTAGCCTGTACTTGCAAGATTTCTTATGTGACACAAAATGACTTGGTCATGCATGTTCTTATGATGTACAAGGTTTGTGGTATATTGGTAGAGAATTATAATCTATTGTTTTAGTTCTTTTTTACTAGTTAAGTGAAGTTGTGTAGGCACATTGTTTACTACATGTTTTGTCCTTTTATATATTGGTAGGAATATGAAGCCGCACTTGTTCTACCTTTCTAACTTCTATCTCTCTACCAATAGAGTATTGTTTCCTATTTTTATAGGAATATTGTTTAACTATGATCTTTCAGTTTCTGTGTAATTCAAATTCTATTGTTTCTTTCCTCATTTGTTGAGTTCTATAATCTTACTTTCCTGATTGGAATTATTCTTCCCATTATTGTAGGGTCCTGGTGGAAGACCTGGCTTTGGTCGTGGTTCTGGTGGCTTTGGAGCACCTACCAGTTCAAACGATGCTTAAATGTTATGATTTCTGATCCAGTTCATGCAGTTTTGGCTGTCTTTAGATCCTATAGTATTACCCCCTCCTCTCAGTTGTTTAATCCTCTTGACATTTTATTTTAATTTATTCGTGCAATGAAGATTTTGAACCAAGTGTTTTTGCTTAGTAATATGTTGATTTGTTTTTGTTTGGACAATAGATCATGGATGGTGTTGGTAAAAATGAATGTTCTATAAATGGAGGGTTGTTGAGGTAGGATTGAATTGTTCTATAAAAATCTCAAAAAAACTGAAAAACTATTCTGTATTGGAGATTTGTTATATTTAAGAAATTTTTAAATTAAACTACTTTGTGTAAACAAGTTTTGAATAAAATTTTGTCTGTTAATCTGCATTTGTCAATTGCTCCACTATGCTGTTAATATAGTGGAAGACTAGTGTTCTGGTTAGTCATGTTTTAGTAAACAAAAGTTCAGCACTTCTATGAGGTATAAATAAACGTTTTCTAGGTATATAAACTAAATTATACCATATAATCTAACGAAGTAGAAGCAAGTTATTTAGCGATTGCTGTCTTAATTTCAATACTCAAGTGTACACTGGCTTAACAAATAAAACGAGAACAATGCGTTCAATTTAGACTTTGGACAAATAATGTGGTCTTTCTACTGACTTAAATCAACCTTTAAAGAAGTCTTGCTAATCTATTAGAGAACAAAAAAAGATGGTTGTGGATACAATGGTTGAAACTCATTTATGTAGAGGATGTTATGCTAGCACAAGAAATCAGAAGTACTACTTCATAGAGTAAGTAATTTTCCCTCAAAACTACACAAACAAGATGTTTGAATTGATAGAATGTATCCACCACTTGTATCTATATTTCTTTCCTTCAATTTCGACCGAATGAAGAATTTATCGACCTTTATTACGTGGTAAAATATCCAAAGTTTGAATGAAATCTCTATTCAGCTAATGTTATATTATGTTTCGATCATTATTTCACTATGTTCTATCGTGTTTTGTATTAAAAAGTAACTTTAGTAGATGGTTTATCATAGATATCATCAATTTCAATTGCTTGAATATATCTATAAAATCGGCAGCCACTTGGCAAGTAGTACCTACCTACGCAACCTAAAATAGAATCCATTAAAGGCATATAATGAGATTCACTCAATACAGAAGCAGGTTGAAGTATTCAGCTGACCAGGTCTTACAAAATCCGTTGACGATTTAGTAATCATAGTTAATTATATCCAAATGGCTGTTATTACCTCGTTCAGATAAGCTAACTTTTGATTTTCTCCTATACTATAACGTCAATATGATCAAATAGCATAAGCAACAAGTGGTAATAGATAATTATTATAATACAAAGTTAAAAGTCTTCTTATAGAGAAGATAACAGAATTGAACAGAATCCAAAAATGGATGGCAAAAGCAAAGATAATAATGTTACAGATTCAATTAAAAAGGTCTTCACTCACAAAGGTCGTTATGTGCAATACAGTTTGTATGGAAACTTATTTGAAGTGTCTTCCAAATATGTTCCTCCCCTTCGCCCTATCGGTAGAGGTGCTTATGGCATCGTCTGGTTAGTTTCACTTCTTTTTCATTTGTTATAAAAATAACTTATACAATAAGAGCTTATGTTATAAATACTTTTCAGTGCTGCGGTTAATTCTGAAACACGCGAGGAAGTTGCCATCAAGAAGATTGCAAATACATTTGATAACATTATTGATGCTAAAAGGACTTTGAGGGAAATCAAGCTTCTTCTTCACATGGATCATGAAAATGTATTCTATCTTCAGATATTTTATTTTCTGCTTATTATTCTAATTATTATGCTATAATGTCTTGATGATGAAATTTGTTCACAGATTATTGCTATTAAGGATATTATAAGACCTCCACAAAAGGATGCTTTTAATGATGTTTACATTGTGTATGAATTGATGGATACAGATCTTCATCAGATTATTCGTTCAAATCAACCTCTTAATCTTGATCACTGTCAAGTAAGCTTTCTCTCTATTCTTGTTATTGAATTTGAAGTACATAGTTTCATTCTCACAACAAGATGTTTCTTGAATTCTGCAGTACTTTCTATACCAGCTATTAAGGGGACTGAAATATGTGCATTCCGCGAATGTCTTGCATCGTGATCTTAAACCGAGTAATTTACTTTTGAATGGAAACTGTGACCTTAAAATTGGGGATTTTGGTTTGGCGAGGACGACATCTGAAACAGATTTTATGACAGAATATGTGGTTACTAGATGGTACCGAGCCCCAGAGTTGCTCCTTAATTGTTCAGAGTACACATCCGCAATCGATGTTTGGTCGGTCGGTTGCATATTTGCTGAAATTATGACCAGACAGCCATTGTTTCCTGGAAAAGATTATGTTCATCAACTAAGGCTTATAACTGAGGTAAGTGCTTGGTGCTTATTTGAAGCATTCTAGTTAATGTATTGTTGTAACATGCATTTTGTTTTCCTTTTGTTCAAACTAGTTAATAGGTTCTCCCGACGAGTCGAGCCTTGGATTTCTCCGAAGCGAAAATGCGAAAAGGTATCTTAGGCAGCTTCCACAGTTTGGGAAGCAAAATCTTTCAGCGAAAATTCCTCTTATGTCGGCCGAGCCTCTGGACTTGCTAGAAAAAATGCTTATCTTTGATCCCGACAAACGAATCACAGGTATAATAACTCAGCTCCTCATTGAACAATACAATTTCTCTTATCTTTTCATATTTATATAACATATTTTTCATTGATTTGTAGTTGATGAGGCACTATGTCACCCATATCTATCATCACTTCATGACATCAATGATGAGCCAGTTACTCCTATGCCATTCAGTTTTGATTTTGAGCAGCCATCATGCACTGTAGACCACATTAAGGAACTCATATGGAGGGAATCTGTGAAGTTCAATCCGGATCCACTGTCCCAATAATTGTTTCTTATATGTGTAAATGGAACAAGATGTAGCATTTCATAATAATCATTATTCCCCTTATATACACTGTCTGATGTTGTAAATTACATTAAGTAATCTAGTTGACCATTGCAAATTACAAAAGTTATTGTGTTGATTATACTATTAAATAGTTATTTTGATATCTTTTGTCCGAAAAAAAAAAACTAGGGTTTATGACTAACAGTTTTCTTGTGAGAAGAACTGTTAAACACAATTAATTATTTATCTTTGTTAATGTCTTATAATTAGTCAGTTTTATTAAGTAACTCACTATTTAGTTATGGATAAATAAATTGAATATTTTTTGAATAAAAATGAATTTTGAGATATGGATATAATCTTTGGAACTTAGAATTTGAAAATGGATGATGAATATTTGGATAATATGGATAATAGGCTTAAGGAAGTTTTACCCCATACCCCTACACTTATACCTATACCCCTACATTAAAAAATTTTGGACCAAAATATCCTCGTATAAAAATTTATTATTTTTTAATTTTTTTAATATTTTTTTATTTGTTTACCGGAAGACTTTTGGGAAGTCTTCCGGTTCACATTTTTTTAGTATGTTTACCGGAAGATTTTTTGGAAGTCTTCCGGTAAATATTTTTTTTCGTTTGTTTACAGGAAGACTTTTTGGAAGTCTTCAGGTTCATGTTTTTTTTTTAATTTGTAATTAATATTTAAGATTTATTAATTTTATATAAAAACCAATTTAATAAATTTTTGAATATTATACTTAAAATATAAAAATTCTATAAATAGAGAATCATTTTCAGAATATTTTCTATTTACTATAATTATTAGAATATTAGGATTAAAATCATTTATTTTAAATGATCATAATAGTAGAATTTTCTCAAATATCTTATTAATCTTAAACTTTAATAAATAAAATAAATTTAAATATAAGATATAAGTTTACATTATTCAATATATTTAATCAAATGAAAACATATGTGATAAATAAATAATGTATTTTAACTTAAAATGATCACAATAAGTTAACTTGCAAAATAATATAAGTAATAAATTAATAATGTATTTTATTTAAAATAATCACAATAATAAAATACGCAAATAATGTGTTTTATTTATAGGACTGATATAGTTTTATTGATTATTTAATTTTGAATACTACTATGAATATAGTATTTAATCTATACTTTAGAACTCACATAATTATAAATATAAAAAATATTGTTTTATTACCCATATTTTTATTTAATTAAAAAAAATAAGAATATAAATTTATTATTTGTTTTTCATTTTTGTTTGATCTTTTTAATTATTTCACTTTATTTAATATTTTTAATAAAATAAATAATATATTTTATTTAAAGTAAGCACAGTATAGAATATGCAAAAATTTATAAATAAAAAAAAAGATTAAACGAAAATATAGTAAATAGAAAATATTCTATTTATAGTAAATTGGTCATAGTATTCTAATAATTATAGTAAATAGTAATTATAGTAAGCACAGTATAGAATATGCAAAAAATTTATAAATGAAAAAAATATCAAATTACTATTTACTATAATTATTAGAATACTATGACCAATTTACTATAAATAGAATATTTTCTATTTACTATATTTTCGTTTAATCTTTTTTTTTATTTATAAATTTTTGCATATTCTATACTGTGCTTACTTTAAATAAAATATATTATTTATTTTATTAAAAATATTAAATAAAGTGAAATAATTAAAAAGATCAAACAAAAATGAAAAACAAATAATAAATTTATATTCTTATTTTTTTAATTAAATAAAAATATGGGTAATAAAACAATATTTTTTATATTTATAATTATGTGAGTTCTAAAGTATAGATTAAATACTATATTCATAGTAGTATTCAAAATTAAATAATCAATAAAACTATATCAGTCCTATAAATAAAACACATTATTTGCGTATTTTATTATTGTGATTATTTTAAATAAAATACATTATTAATTTATTACTTATATTATTTTGCAAGTTAACTTATTGTGATCATTTTAAGTTAAAATACATTATTTATTTATCACATATGTTTTCATTTGATTAAATATATTGAATAATGTAAACTTATATCTTATATTTAAATTTATTTTATTTATTAATGTTTAAGATTAATAAGATATTTGAGAAAATTCTACTATTATGATCATTTAAAATAAATGATTTTAATCCTAATATTCTAATAATTATAGTAAATAGAAAATATTCTGAAAATGATTCTCTATTTATAGAATTTTTATATTTTAAGTATAATATTCAAAAATTTACTAAATTGGTTTTTATATAAAATTAATAAATCTTAAATATTAATTACAAATTAAAAAAAAAACATGAACCGGAAGACTTCCAAAAAGTCTTCCGGTAAACAAACGAAAAAAAAATATTTACCGGAAGACTTCCAAAAAGTCTTCCGGTAAACATACTAAAAAAATGTGAACCGGAAGACTTCCAAAAAGTCTTCCGGTAAACAAATAAAAAAATATTAAATAAATTAAAAAATAATAAATTTTTATACGAGGATATTTTGGTCCAAAATTTTTTAATGTAGGGGTATAGGTATAAGTGTAGGGGTATGGGGTAAAACTTCCTAGGCTTAACACGCTATTTGCAATTTTCAAAACTAAATCATGTCATTTACTTTGCTTTGATCCTTGAATAAAATTTGCCTCTGATCAATCTTAAATCAAACTTGAAATTAAAATTTGCCTCTGATCAATCTTAAATCAAACTTGAAATTAATCAGAATAAATGGCCTGTTTGAATGGACTTGAATCTCATGACTTAAAATTTGCACCTCATACTCATGATTTTGCAGGGGAGTTGAAATATAGATCAAATGTATTCTGAATATCCAGCCACTTGACTTTATAAGATGAAATTGGACTTGCATAAACCCTGATTGAATCCTCAGCAACACACCTCCTGAATCAATGTTCTCTGGCCTTGATCAAGAAATCCAATTTTGCCTGATCAAGATTAAGTCAAAATCAAATGAACCTCAATTCATGCTACACACACCTGAATTGAACATGCCTCACATGACTCTTGATTTAATTCAATTCAACTTTGCAAAACCCTGAGCTTAGATCATAAACAGAAGCAACATATTTTTTGGATTTTCTGAATAATGGTTAGTGGATGGATGTACAAATGAAAGTCATATACAGATAGGACAAATTTAAAGTATGACAGATATAAGATTTTTTATTTGCAGGTTAAGCTAATTTCTATCAAGTACTTATGATATCAATCTTTAGGTTGCTTTTCGTATTATCAAATACATCAAAACAACTCTTTTCATGTAGGTTAATATTCAAAACAGACTCCTCACATACACTAAAAAATTTCACTGATTCAGATTGAAGTCTTGCGATAATACGAAATATTCTAAAATTGACTTCTATTTCTACTTAAACAACTCTCTCATTTGCAAGAAAAGTTCTATTTCTACTTAAACAACTCTTTCATTTGCTAGAAAAATAAAAAAAACACCATGTTATGTCAAGATCATCTTCAAAGATAGAATACTATGCTCTAGTAAACACCATTTGTAAAGTCCAATGTTTATATATCTCCTCCAAAATTTTGGAATTACCCACAACAAACCAGTAACAATTTTATGTGGTAACAAGTTGACTATACACAAACACATCGAAATGAATTGTCACGTGGTCCACGACAAAATTCAAACCAAGATAATACACTTTATGTCAACCCATACAACACAACAAGTCACAAATATCTTGTTATCATATACCATTTACCACTCTCGTCAAACTTCCAATTTTAGAGAGGATGTTAAACACAATTAATCTATTATATTTGTTAAAGACTTAATATGTGTTTATTTTGGCATTTTAAACTTAAAAAACATACGTCTATTTTTACTAACTAATTTCTTCGATCTGTTTCGATGGTATTCCGTTATGACCCTAATTTGTATATATAGGATGTCTAAGTTGGGTAATATAGTATTTTTACCATCTTTAATTTTTCTTCTTTACATTATGAAAATATTGCACTTATTAGGTTGTGCCATCTGTCACACACGTGGCAAGTATATTGACAGTTAGAAAACTCGCGAATCATCGAATTTCCATTGCCGCTTCTTATTCAGACTCTGTTTTCGTTGGTTCTTCTGAGTTCTGATCTCTGCTCTCCATTGAGACTTTAACTTTTTGTAAGTCTTCATCTTCTACTCGCATCTCTATACGATCATGAAAGTTGAATCCGTTCGCTATTTCAAATTATGCATAAGATTCAATGCATCTGAACCTAAATTATGCATAGCTTCATGTTTTTCGTTTGTTTTTTTTCCTTTTAATTTTGTTCTTCTTATGTCATAACAGAGTTTTATTTCAATTGCAGGCGAGTAAATTTATAGCTATATATGAAGTTCATGCGAGGACTCGTTGCACTTCTACTGCTGCGTGCCAAAAACAGGTTCAAGCCAATGTACCCAATGAATGGATCAAGAGGTATGCGTAATAAGCTTTTCTTCATCCATTTATTGACTTATTATTATTATTACATCATTCTATTAGAAGGAAATTGCAGTTGGTATTAGTAACTTGTTTAGACAGAGAGAACTTGCAAATATAAGAAAATTATTGAAACAAATTTTGCACTTAAAACTATGTTTTGTAATGAAATGATATCTTGTATTGATATAGGTATATTGGCAACATCAAAACCTAAGAAACAAGAAAAGAATGAATCTGGCGAAATGGGGCTAGCAACTAAAGAGATGATTGACCCTGTAGTCGCCTATAGCCGGCCTCCGCCGCTTCCTCCTGTTATAGGACCTTTGGTTGCTCTCTCACTGTTGGATACATGGTGGAACCGCAAAGCCGATGATGACGGCAAGTGATGTGAGATATCATTCATACCCTCTACTTAAATATAATCTTAGAAATAAACATAGCAACGCTGAATGCATAGCTAATCAATCGTATCATGAAGCTCCATAGCTTTATGTAGCTATCTAGTATTGGATTAAGGAAAGGTGCTACAAATATATTGTAAATTTTCAACATCCATATTAGTATTGAATGAGGTCTTCTTAAAAACCCTGCAGGAACATGTACATATCTTAATGAATATTTTTCGGTTGAATTGAAGTAAATGTAAAATCTATGAATTGTGACTCACACTCTGTTGCTTTGGGAAAGTCATCAAACAATGAGGTCACAGTCTTCAACATAGTCTGAAATTCTCAAAAGGCAGCATAAATTGAATCAATCCAAAAGGAAATAGAAATACAATAGGATATTAAGTAGTATAAGAATTAGAATACTTGAAAGAGTTGGTTTCTGTTTTTGTAGTTACCAAAACTATGCTTCCGGGTTTGACTAGTGATTCGATAAATATGTCAGCTCTCCTGAATTCAATTATATAGTGAGTATATATATGGTTTTAGAACATAAAACTGCTGATTCAATTATTTTCTTTGCTACCTACCTAATTGTTAAGCTTTCTTCTACTTTTGCTAACTGAAAGAAGCTGCAGCCTCTGGTGAATGGGATTTGTTCCTTTTTCCATTCTATCATACCAAAAAGATTGTCATCAAGTTTTATATCATTTATACATTGGGAAAAATAAATAAATAACGAATCGGAAAGTAGTAAATTAGTCTAGGATAGGAGTATGACCCAAGTGCCATTTTGCCGCAACAGTTAAATCATCTCCCTCGCAGATGTTTCTCACTCTAAATTTCACATTCTGGCCCATACCAGCAGTAAGTTGCTGTAAGAAATGCATCACTTCCTGCAATGTTACGTCTAGATTATCTTGTGTAGCAATTTACTCAATTCAACTAGGAGTGTTTTAGGTTATTACTTATTAGAACTATGGTTGAGATACAAACCTTCTTTCCTTGAAATGGATTGATGAAGGTATAGTCATAAAAGCAGGCATCTTGAGATATGCATTCATCCAATTGTTGCAGCTCTTTCTCATTGATACATGTGTAGAAGTGATCTATTATCTCAGCTGGAGACATTGAATTTTGGCCGGATTTAGGGCCTTTCCTGGATAATATGGCTGAAACTCTGTTGCCATCACAAGTTTTGTTTTGTACATTCTTCTTGAAACATAAACTTCTACGTTGTATCTCCATCTTTTTTTGCAAGTTGCATGTTCTTTTGCCCGGCGAAAACCCGAGAGTGGGTCTCCTTTCGATGTCTGAGTTTATTCTCGGATAATGGTGCAAAGCTCTGGTTGGAAATTTTGCTAAAACATCCATGTGTAATTTTTCGTGAAAAATATTGCTATGAACATTTGCAACTAATGTATTGTTGCCTATCTGATCTATTGAAACGAAGAAAGAGTTTTCTCTTACATCGAGGCAAATAATCAATGCTTAGATTGTTCAACTTGCTTGACTTTCTCTTCCTTGATATGAAATTTAAGAATATTATTACCTCTCTTCTTTTATATAAGAAGAGAGGTATTTGATCCATAAACTTACATTGATTAGTTAATGAATTTAAAAAATAAATTGTCTTTTATATAAAAGAACAGAGGCAGTATCTCATTTCTTTTCATGGTCAGAGAATAATAATTTAAGTATTATATTCATTATAAAAAACAGAGTTATAGGCCATGTTCTTGTGTGTAGCCATAAAGGAAGCAGTACTGAATCTTCATGATATTATATAATTGAGTCAAGCAAACACCACCTAGACAACCACAACAAAAAAGACAAATTCAACATTGTATGAAATTATCAGAAACAATGAGGAAGCAAGAAAAGTTGGAGAGACAAACTATTTTTATCTGTCGCATTTTATATTTTACTTTTTTAATATATACAAAACAAGTTTCATGTTACATGTGACTCCACATTATTATCTCTACATAAGAAAGAAGAATCTTATTATTTGCTTGACCTGCAGACACTATATAAAAAATAAACCTTTTGTTCCCTGAATCCCACCTAATTGGCATGCCAAACATTAACAAAATATATACTTTCACTAAAACTCAGTTACCAGACACAAGACAAGACAGCTTCAAGATACCGTGTTGACCCACATCTTTTCATCTTTAGCAATAGCAAAGGTTGAAAACAACAAAATTGTATGTTTGAAGTTATATAAGCCTGTGACTGTAATTAGTTTTTGTATCACTCAAAACAAACCTGTAGATTAGAGGTTTCAACTTGTTCTGTGTTGAGCAGAAAAGAATCTTGTAAATTAACAAAAATTAGCTGGCATGTTCCTTAACCTCCACACTACTGAGACAGAACTGTTACACCCTTCTTCCACCAATATCAATTTCAATAACCTTATTCAGGATTCTATTACTATATAAACTCTCTGTCTTTCACCATTTTCATAAGAACACATAACAACACTACATAAAATATCATCTTGTTTAGGCTTTTGTTATAAGAGAATAATGAATAACAGAATGGGTCGTGTTGTATCTGCTGAAGTTACTAACAACAGGAACAGGTTTAGAAGCAAAAGACCACTTCCAAAAAGAGGACAGATAAAGTCAAAGATAGCTGCTAATGCTTTTCATTCAATTGTCTCTGTAATTTCAAGGGCATCTTCTTCATCTGGTTTATACTCTCCAAGAAAAAACTAGTGCCGGTTCAAGCAGGGTTGATGTGTATCATTATAGTATAAGAACATTTTTGTTAGTATATTGTATCTAGTTTTTCATGATTTCCTATATGATGATAGCTTGTATTCGGTTTACAAAAGTTTTTGCTCCATTCTTCGTATTCAACTCAATCCTACTCATAAAGAAAACACCTCTAACTTATATTCACTACATTCATCCATAAGCTTTTAGCTAATGAACAACACACAAAACACGGAGTACATCTTCATAATACAATAGTGGGGAAAAGGTTCTTCAAATTGAGACTCAAATTTTCACAAGCTAAATAAAATATTTGATCTTCTTAGACGACTTTATTTCTGCAGTTGAAATAAGTGTGAGTGATTAAACCTCAAATCGACTAAAAGTAATAGGAATATTGAATTTATAAAAGATAAGATTCATATGAACATAGACATGTATTTGAACAATATGAACAAACACATAAACATACATCACGATATGAACAAACACACGTCACAAAGAAGTGTATTTGATGGTTTCATAAATTGAGCCAATGGGAATTGACTAAGTCATAGTCGACGAACATTGGTCTCTTGCTATGCAATAAAAGTTAAACCAATTTGAGTAAAATAACATTTGGGGACTAGTTTTTAAAGACTCAGTTAATCTAGTCATTGACACTCAATGCAACCCAACCTTTCCAAATCATGTATTCAAGCTTAATAAGGCATTATATGTCTGAAATAAGCTCCTAGAGAATGATATGACCGATTAAATGACTTATGAAAAAAATTTCAGAGAAGACAAGTTGATAAAACTCTTCATAAAATAGCATGATATTCTGTTAGTTTAAATAAATATTAATAAGAGTATCTTTAGTGCTAATGAATCCTTGTGCAAGGAGTTTTCTGAAATCATGTAAAATGAGTTTGAAATATCAATGATGGGAGAACTAAAATACTTCTTAGGACTTAAAATCTATCAAAATAAAAAGGGAACATTTGTGCATCAACCTAAATATTGTAAAGAGCAACTGAAAAAGATTTTATATGTAGAAGTCTAAAATAATAGCAACTTCAATGTCAACATCATGTTACCTAGACAAATATGAAGACGTAAAACCAGCTGATGATAGAAAATACAGAGGTATCATAAGCTCTATTCTTTATCTGACTGCATCCTGTCCTGATATGATGTTTGTTGTATGCATGTGTGCGCGATTTTAAGCATTCCCAACAAAATCACATCTTAGCTTTCCAAATTATGTATTCAAGCTTAATAAGACATTATAGGTCTGAAATAAGCTCCTAGAGAATGGTATGACCGATTAAATGACTTCTTATGGAAAAAAATTCCAGAGAAGACAAGTTGATAAAATTCTTTTCATTAAAAAAAATAGCATGATATTCTGTTAGTTTAAATAAATATTAATAAGATTATCTTTAGTACTGCTAATGAATCCTTGTGCAGGAGTTTTCTGAAATCATGCAAAATGAGTTTGAAATATCAATGATGGGAGAACTAAAATACTTCTTAGGACTTAAAATCTATCAAAATAAAAAGGGAACATTTGTGCATCAACCTAAATATTGTAAAAAGCAACTGAAAAGATTTTATATGTAGAAGTACAAAATAATAGCAAATTCAATGTCAACATCATGTTACCTAGACAAATATGAAGACGTAAAACCAACTGATGATAGAAAATACAGAGGTATCATAAGCTCTATTCTTTATCTGACTGCATCATGTCCTGATATAATGTTTGTTGTATGCATGTGTGCGCAATTTTAAGCATTCCCAACAAAATCACATCTCAGCTTTCCAAATTATGTATTCAAGCTTAATAAGACATTATAGGTCTGAAATAAGCTCCTAGAAAATGGTATGACCGATTAAATGACTTCTTATGGAAAAAAATTCCAGAGAAGACAAGTTGATAAAAATCTTTTCATAAAAAAAATAGCATGATATTCTTTTAGTTTAAATAAATATTAATAAGATTATCTTTAGTACTGCTAATGAATCCTTGTGCAAGGAGTTTTCTGAAATCATGCAAAATGAGTTTGAAATATCAATGATGGGAGAACTAAAATACTTCTTAGGACTTAAATCTATCAAAATAAAAAGGGAACATTTGTGCATCAACCAATATTGTAAAAAGCAACTGAAAAGATTTTATATGTAGAAGTACAAAATAATAGCAAATTCAATGTCAACATCATGTTACCTAGACAAATATGAAGACGTAAAATCAGCTGATGATAGAAAATACAGAGGTATCATAAGCTCTATTCTTTATCTAACTGCATCATGTCCTGATATAATGTTTGTTGTATGCATGTGTGCGCGATTTTAAGCATTCCCAACAAAATCACATCTCAACGCCGTGACACGTTTTATGAGATATCTCACTAACACATAACATGTGGGTTTATGGTACCCCAAAGGAATGAATTGTGACTTAATTGGGTACCCCGACTCCGATTTTTCTAGGTGCATATTGAATAGGAAAATTACTTAAGGTAAATGTCACTTACTTGGGAACTTGTTTTTCTCATGGCATAACAAGAAACAAGCCAGAGTATCATTATCCTCAACTGAGGCGGAATACGTTGTTGTGGGAAGATCTTGCACTCAACTCATTTGGATGAAACAATAACTTAGTAACTATGGTGTCAAACTTGGAGTTATATTGATAAGATGCGACAACACTAGTGTCATAAATCTCACGAAAAATCCAATACTTCACTCTCGAGCAAAACACATTGACGTTAGGAACCACTTTATTAGAGATCATGTTGAAAAAGGGGAATGTATACTTGACTTCATAAACTCATACAATCAACTCCCATATATTTTTACTAAACCACTTCCTCAAGAAAACATCTTTTTCATAAGAACTGAACTAGGAATTTTAAATCAATCATGCATAGACTAAATTTTTTACATATGATATATGTGAATCTATGTGCTTAATTTTCCTTTTTGATTTCGACAAAAGGGGAGAAGTATACACTTAAGAGGAGTAGAATATACTCTATGATAAATTACGAGGGAATTTGATTACTCCAAAAATACTTGTATTTGTTTCTGTTACCACCTCTCTTGAGAGATGCGTTGTCATCATAAAAATGGGGAGAATATGGATCTATATGATTGTAGGTTATGAAGTTTCACATATGAAGTTTTAATGATGAAAACACATGATAATAACTTTCAACCTCGATGATGATAAAAAAGTAAGTATCTTATGACTCATAAAAAAAAAGACTCAAGATCAAGTACATGTACAAATAAAAAACTATCTAGCAAAAGTCTTTAAGTCTTGGAGAAAGGCGTGAAAGCTCGCCAAATCATGTATGTATGTTTGTTTGAGTGATTAGAGTATTGTAAAAGTGAGGAAGTAGCTTAAAAGTAATAATGAGACTCCTTCTCTCTCTCTCTCTCTCTCTCTCACACACACACACACACACACCCCCACACACACACACACACACATCACTTGTCCAACTTTTTTAACTTTAGGTAGGAGTCATTGAATTATTCATTTGGGAGAGACTTTGCTATAAGAGGGAGCCAACCTTTTAGATGTGTCGCCTACTCAACATAATAGGTGATTTATTAACACGCGAGTGGTTGTAGACATGACCACTGGCCTTGAGAGGA